ATATACATATACATAAAGATTAGGATGCTGCCTCGCTCGCTTCACGCTCGCTTGCGACGGCAGCAATGAATTACTGTAATTATCACGACAACGTGGTTGTCGCTATCTATGCTGTCGCTGCATTAATCGTTTGATACTTCAATTGGACGTCACTTTGTCAGCTTTTTGACACGTATTTCTTACTTTTATATTTATTTGGTTAAATGTTTCCACTTGAATGAGCAATTTATTTTATTAAAGGATTCTTCGGATCCGAATTCTTTATGAAAACTCGGATCGGATTCGGATCAGACAATTTCGGATCGGATTTTAAACATTTGACAATTGTCGGATTATAAACGTCCAATCCGATGGTATAACATTTGGTTTATTCAATAGATCTTTATATTAAGATCTTGCGGAAAGTCGACAATGAAATCCGTTACACAGTCTTACACAAGTCAAAGAGTCGAGTAATCGGCGTTTTAAATGCTCAAAGAAGCGGCATATTGCCTTTCGTGGTATCGCATATACGATTCCAGCCCGAGTTTGTTTACTGCAAGGGATAAATATAATTAATATTTAATTTCAGGAAGCTTTCTTACAAAGTGACTTTATAGCTCTGACTAAAAGTAAAACTCAGCCCGGATTCAAACTGCCCATGTAATCGTGATGCCATTTCTGCTTGGTTAACCGGGCTGAAACTCAGCCCGGGCTAAAACTCACCACGTAATGGTGTAACGGAAGAAGAGGGGGCCCTTACGCAAATTTGGTGTGGGGGCCCCTGTTGACTGTTGTCATTGTTTGACTGAGATATTATATTTATATTGAATATTTATAGAATGTTCTGGAAAATTCCATGTCTATAACAATAACAATATAACAGTCTCCAACACGTGTAACAATTAATATGAATAACTTTTGTTTTATTTGAGATGGAATAAAAAAATCAGCTACCGTTGTCAATGCAGGTTTAATTCTTTAGCATTATTAATTTTGCATTTTCCCATTGATTCTTTTTTAACCTGCATTTCTTACGTTTTCAAATTGTCTGGGCGATAGGAACAAACCCTACCTAATCGGCCCTAGCTTTAATGTGGAAGATATGTTTGCGCTAGATGATAACTGTTATGCAACAAAAGCAGGGTTACATTTTTAATTTTTGATGTCACGCAGTCAAAGATAGGGATTGGATTAGGTTTCGTAATTGCGTGACATGAAAACATAACCAAAATCAAATCAGTGATTGTCACTGAGCTATAATACCCTTCTTAATATAATCCTGTCAACCTGGAATTTTTTTATTTTCTCATTCGAAAGAACCTTTAATTTAATAAGACAATATATAATATTCTTTTACCGTTTTTTCATATCTTGCTTACTTCTACAAATATTTGATTGAAGGAGTGAAATCTACGAATCAATATTTGGTCAGCAACTTATATGGTTAATCCCTGTTGTGACGTCACCAAAACTACCGTTAATGAGATCAAATATTTATCCAAGATGGTGGACATCTCATTACTTGAAGTGAAAATATTTCAAGAACAAAGCAGTCTGTGTTTAAAAACTTTGCCCCGTGAAAACAATCTCAAAACAAGGTCAATCAATTTCAACGAATGCCAAATCAAGTTCAAGACAACATTCATTACTCATTAGCAAAATATTAACATCATTTGAAAATTGAACAGTGATACTTTTTTAACAAGTTTATTAGAGACAATCCGAAAACAAGTTAATCAATTTCGAACAATCTCAAAACAATTTCAAGATAAATTTCAACACATTACAACATATCACACAAATACTTTCAATTTATGTTGCTAGTCTAGTGGGGCAACCATAGATATCTTATATACACTAGATAGTGCATCTAATTATTCTCCAATTCAAAAATTGAAGCCGTGATTGCAGTCTCAGGTCGTTCCCATGAAATGAGAAGATTTGTGTGTTTTCTATTTCTTACTGTCGTTCCAATTGAAGTGTTGCTCAAATATTGTTTCAATACATTACCTCGGGCTGACCAATTCATTTGATCAAGTTCCTCGAGATATTCATACACTTCCTGTGAAAGAGCCAATTCCAAGTATTTGATCATTTCTGGTCACTTCCTTTCTATTTATGATTGGTTAGTTGCACAAACAACAAAGGTGATTGGTGCATTCAAACTATTCAACAGGAAGTTTACAATTATACTAGGAAGTGTATGAATATCTCGAGGAACTTGATGAAATGAATTGGTCGGCCTGATGTAATGTATTGAATCAATACTTCAGCAACACTTCAATTGGAACGACAGTAAACAGGGAACTTAAACACTAAGTTAACCCTGTTCCAAATACGTTTTTAAACTATTCAAATGATCAAAGTTATTGTTGTTTTTAAGCGTTTATTAGCAAGTGGGAACAACCAATATGGCCGCCATCTTTTCAAATGAGGGTAACCGCTGGAATATTCTTGACTTCAATTTTAATAAAAGAGATGCGCTATCTAGTGTATATAAGATATCTATGGGGGCAACACATTGTCATGCATACTCATATGATCTTCAAGTTCAGTGGCAATTTCAAACTCAGCAGCGCAGACACAACAGATATAACCAATACCAGTTGCTTCTCTTGCTTCTAATTCTTTACAGACATCACATTGGTAGAACGTACCATGGTCTTTGGCCTTGTGCTGATATAAACTTTCAATATCAGGAAACTGTTTGTTGCATTTGTCACAGACAAAATGATCATCACTCAGTATCTCACTAGCATGTCCTTGACCTTGAATAATTTCTTTGCCACAAGTGTGGCACAATAAGAAGCCATCTCTCAAGTGTGATCTCCAGTGACGTTTGAGACTTTGTTGTTGTGTGAATGTCTTCTTACATATACCGCACGCAAAACTCTGGTTTCTCTTGTGTGCTAATGTTTTATGTTGTCTTAACTTGCGTGATTCTGAAAATCTCTTGTTGCAAACGTCACATTGGTAAGGTTTGTTTCTAGTGTGTGTTCTTTTATGTCTTGTTAAGTGGCTCAAGCATGAAAATCTCTTCTTACAAACATCACATTCATAAGGTTTCTCTCCAGTATGTGTACTCTTATGAACCGCAAAGTGACCTGAGTGTGAAAATCGTTTGTTGCAAACATCGCATTCATAAGGTTTGTCTCCAATGTGTGTTCTCTTATGTTTAGTTAGGGTGCTTCGGTCAGAAAATCTTTTTTTGCATACATCACATCCATAAGGTTTCTCTCCAGTATGTGTTCTTTTATGTCTAACTAAGGTGTCTGACCGTGAAAATCTTTTGTTGCAAACATCACATTCATAAGGTTTGCTCCCAGTATGTGTTCTGTTATGTATGGCTAAGTTGCCAGACTGCAAAAATCTTTTGTTGCAAACGTCACATTCATAAGCCTTCTCTCCAGTGTGTGTTCTTTTATGGATAGCTAAAACGTCTGACCGCGAAAATTTTTCGTTGCAAACATCACATTCATAAGGTTTATTCCCTGTGTGTGTTCTCTTATGGACCGCTAACTTGCCTGACTGCAAAAATCTTTTGTTGCAAACATCACATTCAAAAGGTTTGTCTCCAGTGTGTGTTCTCTTATGAACCGCTAAGTGGCTTGACTGCGAAAACCTTTTGTTGCAAACATCACATTCATAAGGTTTGTTCCCAGTGTGTGTACTCTTATGAACCGCTAAGTGGCATGATTGCGAAAACCTTTTGTTGCAAACATCACATTCATAAGGTTTGTTCCCAGTGTGTGTTCTCTTATGAACCGCTAAGTGGCATGACTGCGAAAACCTTTTGTTGCAAACATCACATTCATAAGGTTTTTCTTGAGTGTGTGTTCTCTTATGAACCGCTAAGTGACTTGACTGCGAAAATCTTTTGTTGCAAACATCACATTCATAAGGTTTGTCTTCAGTGTGTGTTCTTTTATGTCTCACCAAATCTCCTTTCTTTGAAAATACCTTGTTACAAACATCATCAAATTTGCTAAACATGGTTTCAGCTTTTGATATTTTCCCCGTACGGTCACACGTGCGGTCAAATTTCGATTAAAAATATCACCCAACTGTTCCCTCGAGTCTTTCTTTATTGAATCTTTATAATACTTCGGTTCTTACAGAATTTCTGATCATAAAAATGAGAGTATTCAGAGATAGAGTTTGCAAACAACACGAGTATCAAAATATGGCGCCCAGAAAGAATCATTGAAAGAATTCATGTGGTGTTTCCACTTTACAAAAACAAAAATTATCGATGTGCGAGATTTCGCAACAGATATTACAGACAGCATACGGTAGTATAAAGGCAAAAACATAAACGAAAAATTAAATTAACTCACCCTCATGGGAAGGTATGGGGCCTTTTGGGAAAAGAAAACTGATACATCTTTCTCGCAGGGAATTTTTTGCCAAACCAACCAGTGTTAATGTTTTAAATTTCATTTAATAATATGGAAGCCACGTTTGCGCTAAATGGTAACTGACTCGTACCCAGTCCCTCAAATGGGATTAAACAAAATAATGGTGTATGATGGGAATGGTACGCAAACCTCTGTCCACTGATCGATATAAATCGTAATTGACAACTGTGTACGAGTCAGAAATGGTAACTGTTATATAACAAAACAGGGATTTAGGTTTTGTGATTGCGTAGCCTACGTAGCAGTCGCTTTATTTTATTGAAGGCTTTGAGGGTTTTTGAATAAATGCTAGTGAAAACATAACCAAAATCAATCAGTGATTCCCACCGAGCTAAAATACAGGGACGTCGCTGCCGGGGGGGGGGGGACACACGCCCCCCCAGGTCAAAGTTTGAGATAAAAGATGGTCAAAGTTTCTCAAAGTTATGAATTCGTTCCAAATTATAAGAATTTCTAAGCTTTGGTCATGTTTGCACTGAAAGAATTGCAAGCCTAGCTTATTTTGGGCGAAAAAATTTGAAGCTTTGCTTATGTTAGTCGGAAATTTTTTGCCTCCCCCCACCCCCCCCGATAACATTTACGGGGAATATTTCTGCGAGTTCATTTATGCGAGAACATTTCTGCGAACATTTCAGTTGGCAGGGCCGTAGCAGGCATGTATAGTTGGGGGGTGGGGGAACGTAGGCCAAAAATTTCCGAATATTTCATGGCATACGAGGACACGAAGGTGTTTGCTATCCGGAAAATGAAGACGCAATTTACAAACAAAAATACGCACAAGCATATTACAGAAGCAGTGCCGTAGGGAGCTCTTGTTTATTGGGGGAGGGGCTGACTTTGGGGACGTTTTGACAGAATTCTGATGGTCAGAAAAAAGCGTTTTAGTATGTCGAAATTTACAATTTGCTTACAATTTAGTAGTACTAAATGGGCGAATGATTATTACCTAGTTATTGGGAGGGCTGAAGCCCCCACCCCCCGCCCTCCCTTCCCCCCACGTTGCTACGGCCCTGAGAAGTAATAAACCGAAAACCATTTACCGATTTACGATTTGTTAAACAGTGTTGTCCATGTAAATGCCATAATTTCGTAAATCAGTTTATACTGACAATACAATTTTATAATATTTTCTCTGTTTAACAACTAAAATTTTTGCTCTACTATTATTGCTATTCTAAAAAAGTTGGCGAGGGGTTAACCACCCACCCCCCA